GGTCTTGAAATTGGACATTTAGTGAAATTTTGCCCTAGTTTTGGTCAGGATTTTGACCTAACTTCATGACACTTTTTCATATAGTTCCAAGGGGAATTTTCAAAATTGATTCAAATACAGGTTGTAGAGCACATTGCAAGATTTCCAAAATGTCTAAGAACTCCTTGAGATCATTCTTGAGCAGGGAGAATCGAAGAGATGAAGTTAGGGTTTTAACACTTGAAATACAAGTCATTTTGTGATGAACAAGATTCAAATTTCAAACCTATGCTGCATAATATCTACTTTACAGGCCTCAAACTTGTTAGGCACACCATAATTAATTGCTTGTACAGTTTTTAGAGGTCTCAATTCAAGCATTCAATGCAAAGCCTAGCTTTATATCCAATTTAGGAAGAAAGTGCACAATGCCATTTTGATAAAGTAGCTTTTGGCACAAAACTTGTTCTTGAGCCTTACAATTGTTTTCTTCTGATCATACATGTCCTATAACTCAAGAGAAGTTTGTCTAAACACTTACAATCACTTATCCCATGCTTGTACTTCCTCTTGGAACCATACTTCCCACTTTTGTTCAAAATCAAGTAACATAGCAATCAGTCTAGAACTTGTACTTCTGACCCTCTCAAGCACTCAAGCCTTTTGCTTTTACATACACAAGTAATTTGTCACAAAACACACGCATTCTTGAGCCCTGAAAAGAGCAAGAACTCAGATTTGCATCTCACACCTCCATTGTTGCATATTCTGGCCAGAAATTCCAAAACCAAAAACTACTTGTGAGTTTCTTTGCTTCTTGCTTCCAAAAGCTTCCAAGCATCATACACAAACAATCCCATACCCTGTTACAGTTCTGTAACACCATCTTCCTCCATTTCCAATTTCAAAAATAGAGCACCGCAAGTGGACTTCTCCAGACCATTTCAGCCATTCTCCAACCAAGCTAATCATTGCATTAGCTTCCTGGGACATCAGTGGAGCTATTCTGATCATCACAACACCTTGAGGAGTGCTCAAACTCAGAATACGATTTCCAGTTTTGAGGTAAGTTTCCTTAACTTTGAACTCTTCATAGAAGCATCATTAATGGTTTATTTGTGAATGACAAATGTAGATATCATTGCCCTAAAGCTAACCATGTCCATAATTTTCATTTATGTTGCTTGAGCTTAGAGAATTTTAAGATTGAAGTTTCTGAAATTTTTAGGGTTCAGATTAGGGCCATTAAAATTCATGCTTGTCTTTGATCTATAATTTTATTGCTTTACGTTTCTGAAATTGTGAGGAAATTTGCCACAAGATTCATGTTTACACTTTTGCAAATGGATGAGAAATGAACAAGATGCAGGTACTCTGGCTGAGCGTGAGGTTGAAGATGAAGTTCAGGCCATGGACTTGATTTCTAATATATATTTATTGTTTTGTTTATATGAACGGATGTATATCCATCCCAGTGATAAAATGCGCGCCTGTTAACCTTTGGGACCTGGGTTTGAGCCCCAGTGGTACCCTTTTGCTTATTTTCTCTTTTTTTTTCCCCACATTTTTTATGTTTGTTTGCAGCGCTGGGCCCCCTGTGTTGGGCCTAATATTTTTGCTCATTTCATACTCCCTGCTCACTATTCACACCCCTGGACCATTTTATTTTCCTTTTTCTCTTTTTTTATTTATTTGTTTTCTTTAATATTTTATTTAATATTAGAAAAAATCAGAAAAAATATAAAAACATTAGATTTATATTGATATATTTTATTTATTTTTACAATAAAAATTATTTTTATTTAATCATACTTTATCTATTTTACTAATTAATTTGTAAATTTAATTAGAAACTAGGATTTTAATTATTTCTTTTACAATTAAAAAATATTCTTTTAAAACCAAAAAGACCAAAAATATTTTACCATATATTATTTTCAAGACAAAAAAGACATTAAAAATATTTTTCTTACAAACTTAATTTCTTTTTCTTTCTTAATCAATTAATATTTAGATTAGGATTTTATTTAATTTTCTTTTCCTAATTAATTTAGGTTTACTTTTACTAATTTAACTAATTATTTTCTTTTAGTTAATTAGGTTAAAACCAAACCCTTTCCTAAAAAATCCAAACAAAAATCCATTTTTTTTCTTTCCATTTACATTCTTGTATATTTATTCATTTCTGTACATTATTTATCTAAATTCAATATGGTTGTAATAGATAATTAGGTTTATTTTCTTGGAATCCCCATTTGTAATTTGTACACCCCCTCCCACAAGTATTGTAATAGCATAGTAATTTTATATTCCGCAATTTATCGCTTTATATACAAATGCTAGTAATTAGGGTTTTGTATGGAAAGACTAAAACCAATCAATTAGCAAACCCTAATCAAAAGCAAACCAAGCATGAAAATCAATACACTTGTACACAAGCACCCCTAGGGTAAAATCCACTTGGTTGCCTTACAAAATGGCCATGTTATGCATGTGAGGTATCTTAGCAAAAACAAGCAAAATACAAGATTATAGTCCCTCGATGAAGCTATCAAAAGTTGCCTTTCAAAATGATCTCAGTCCCTAAAGAAAGATGCTAAGATACCTTGCAACATTGCTAATCATGGTTATACAATAACCCACACCCGTCCCGTTTACATCCAAAGATAGGGTTACTTACCAAATCAACGGTAAGATAACAATGTCAAAGGTAAAGGGAAATAAACATGAAAGACTTTTGAGTAGGTAGAATGTTCCTAGTTACTTGCTCAATTTCAAAACAAAACATCCTTGCTATTTTCAAAACAAACACCAAACACTTTCAAAACATCTTTCAAAACTTGAAAACATTTTCAAAAGATCAACACTTTGTATGCATTCTTACGAACGAGAATCATTACAAAGTTTGCCTAAACGATGGCGCCTTTTCAAAATACTTTCAAAAACCACACAAAGCATATTTTCAAACAAAAGTAAGTGATATAGAAAGTAAATAAGAGCCAATGGAAAACCATGGATGAAAAGGGTGTTAATACCTTCCCTTTTCATAATCTACCCCCCGAACTTAAGAAATAATCTCAAAGGTCTTTCCTGTGCTTTTTCACCTTTCCTTTTGGATAAAAGAAAAGTTTGTGGCTACTCTTGCTAACCACAATATTTGCGATAAAATGCAAAGTATCCCAAGTCAGTTCTCCCACCGCATCACACTATCATACTTGGGTTTATCAACATTTTCAATGGATGTTCATTGGATAACAAGGCGTGATATAAGGATGGTAATGTGAATTCATTAAGATCAAGTTGGGTTGGTTCTCTTATTGCTTGTTACACAAGATTGATGGTGATCAAGGTATTGGATCCATTCTCTCATAAAATACAAAGGGTTATATTAGGGACCATTTGGTTCATGGTCATCAATTGAAGATTGGGCTCGCTACATGGATTATAATATAACTCATTTGCTTTGGGGTTCATTCAAGATGTTTGAATTTTGATCACAGAATTTGCCTTGGAAATTTCAAGAGAAATGTCATTTGAATTCAAAATTTTGTTCAAAATTGGATTAAAGTTTATTTATCAAGCACGCTAGGTTAAAAAAGGATTCATGTGGATTTCTTGAGAAACAAGTTATTTGAAATTTAGAGCAAATATTAAGGTCACTCGAGAATTATTCAAGGCAATTTCAGAGTTTGGACATGAGTTCAAAGTTCATCATTATTTCAAATTTCAAGATCACAAGTCCAAATTTCAATCACCGTTCAAGTGACCATAATACAAAATTGCAAGTTTTGAGTACAAAAGTTCAATATTCACTATTCAAGGTACGCAATGTTTATCATTTATAACAAAAAAATCCAGTTTACAAAACCATTCATATATTCAACATCATTTGGTTCCATTACCTTTCCATTACAACTTTATCATTACATCAAAAATTACATAAACTTATGCTAAATTATCCTAATCTCCAAGCTTCATTAATCTTCCTCCAAATTTAATCCAAAATCCAAATTGTTTGTTCTGAATCATAACTAAGCCCTATCCACAAGCAACCTGCATCAAAGCACTTGCATTGTGTCTGCAACAGTTCAACCTGCACTAACAAACTCGGTTCAGCCAATCGAACTAAAACTGTGAAATACCAAACCAGAAGAAAATTCAAAATTCAGGAATAATAAACTTGCTTCCCGAATTCGCATTGCCCTGCACCAGTACTAATAAAACCATATCAGAAGTATGTGAACCTGGAAAAGAAAGGGAAAATTAGTTGATCAGCCTTGCACATACACATAACAGTCCATGTTGCTGCCAAAACCAAAAATCAGTTCAAAATGCTACCAGTTCAACCTGCATCAATTATCTAGCAGTCCAGCCCTGCATTTTGTTCATACTAGAAATCGAAAAAACAAACTTCTAACAATCTGCCAGCTCATACAACCGATTCCCCAACAGAATTCTAACTTTTCCTAACTTTCTAACCATACTAATTGTCCATAACAGTTTCCATTTCCAACTTTTCCAATTTTGTTTACTAACCTGCAAACAGAACTTGTAACAAATTTTAGAACTAACTTCTCAATTCTCAACTGTCCTCTAACAAACTAAACTAACAACATTTACTAACTCTTAACTTCCATACATAACTGACTCCAATTGTCAATAATAGGATTCCAACCCCTAACCGATTTTCCTAACAAACTCCAACAGAAAAAACTTACAGATTCATTCATTCTTCACATATGCAGAAGAATAAAAAATCATAGAAAAATACTCTCTCACTCCTCTCTTCCGCATCTTCATCATCAATTGTTGGCTTCTCTGAATTTTCTGTGCAAACTCCTTCAACATCACTTCGATCTTCATCTTCAAATTCTTCGGAACAAAGACTCTATATCATCATCATTTTCGCAACTTCAATCTGCAATAGCGTCTTCATAGCCTTCTGCATAACCCATAATCACGTATCTATCAGCATCCATCACCTTCAAGAACCTTCATCACTACTGCAATCTTCATCTTCCATGCACAACTGCTATCTCTCATTGAATCTTCATCTCAAAATCTCTATCACTTTCCTCTGCAGAACCTCCATCACCATAATCATTCTTCACTGTAACTTCATTCTTCAACAACCCCTTGTTGTTCCTCAATCATCATCGTCCTTGCCACTTTGCAGCACAACATCAATACTAGATCTTCATCCCCCATTCTTCGCTATAGCAACATCTTCATCAATTTCACACATCAGAAGCAGCAATACGCATCACAAAACACACAAGAAGAAATCGTATCGACAGAATCGAAGAATAGAAGAAGCAAAGGGAAGGGTGAAACACCTGTCGAGCATGAGCTCGTTGGGAACTCACTTTCCCTATCGTGGCACAACCCTCAAGTCTTCAATCGGGTTCACCTTGCATTCGTTCTTGCTCGATTGCACACGCTTTGTCTTCTCTGATCTATGCTCCCTCCATCAAAGTTCAAATTCACGAGTTTAGTTTAGACTTAGGTTTCTCTTCGTTTAAGACATGGTTGTGAACTCTGCGTGGGAGATGATGATAAAGTAACGCTAGAAAAGATGAGGGATTGGATGAGAATAGACGGTGATCTATGGTGCCACCGCAATAACAGGTTTCTGCGAGAGATATGAGAATGAAAGAGGGGACCTATGGTTCAAAATGAGATGAAAGGTAAATGAACACTACTAAACAGTGTCATTTAGTCCATTGCTTCACATATCACCAATTTTTGTTCATTTCTTTGTAATACTGTAGTTGTTTGTTTGGGCCAAAACATTGCCCTCAGCCCAACGAATACCTCATCACATCCCTGCCAGATTATGGACCTCCCTCTCTTTCTTCGTATCTCCTTTACAATTTTCTTTTCACTTTTCTTATATTTTCTTATTGCAAAATTGTTTGGTATGATTGTATAATGTTTCTTGACGATAAAAAAATGAAAATGATAAAAGTTATTAAAATTTTGTTAGATTTTTTATTTGATTTTTAGGAATCAATTCATGATTACCCAATTACTTGGGATTTGTGATCCACCTTTGCTTGTCGAGATATGAATCTTATGCAGGTTTATTGTGCGATATGCAGATATGCTTGAGTTTTTAATTGTGATTTATTTTCACATCGATGATGCTTCAACACTTATCCTGAGCATTTGATTTCTGACTCTTTTCTTTGCTTGGTGAAGCTTATTCGAAGTTTTCCGGGTTTCTATGATTTTTACTCACGGCACTATGACATTTTTTTCGTTTGGTAATTTCTCTTATTTACCTCATTTCAGCATTTACCGCTTTCTAGAGATCATGTATAGTAGGGACATTTACTGCTTTCTAGAAATCATGTGAATTAGGAAGCAGGAAATAAAAAACGTGCACTCGAAGTCGTTGTTTAAAGTCTTGTAGCAGGCATCGCTTTCTGTATGCTAATTGTGTTTGTTTAAAATCATACCTTGGAAGTAGGTATTCATCACGAGTGTTTACATTTGTGCCTGCATATATTACAAGTGATAAGTCCTCAAAAGGAGGCAAGCGGGGAGGGTCTGTAATCGACCCCCGCACATTCTAGTATGTGTCATCCTTAGCTCACATTATACGTCGATGCTTCGGAGACGTTTAGATCTTGTGTATCGAGTCCTTCAAGTGGGTAAGGGTTTTGTAATCAAACCCCCGTATTTTGTCTTGAGCTCATGTTGGACGATGTTGATGCTCCATGTTTTTCTTATTTCATTTGTCTCCCGCTTGTTTGCTTCGGGTGATACGGTCCTCTTAGCTAAAGCATTTCTCTTATTTCCCTCATCCCTTTGAGTCAGTATGTGTTACTTATGATTGTGTGCTTTTGCAAAAGCACTTGTTTGCTTATTTGTTTGTTATACCATGTTCCCTTAGGATAGGAATCTGTATACTTCCCTTAAGATCGCTCGACTAGAGTAGCTTTCGAGCTAGACATTAGGATAGGTATCCATGCATGCTAACATAGGTTAGAGATTTCCATTTCATCCTTAACCTTAGGATCAATCATTGTATGATAACATTAGGGATAGATTTAGTTTAGTCTCCCTTAGATGTTTTTCTTTCTTTTGCATCCTTGCATTAAGATTAAAACTTTTTTTCTTGAAAAAGCATAAAACATCTAACAGCTTTCAAATCCTTCTTTATGGTAAAAAAATATCAACCAATACAAACTTTTTCCGCCTTCGGGCCTTTCTTTGGAACTTGAAAAGGATGTGTTATTTTCCTACTCTATGCAATACGACGCTTAATTCCCCAAGGGTCGGGTTGCATCATGTATACTTGCTAAGAGTCGCGAATGTAACATCATCCACCTTCGGGCACCTTTTCTTTTGAAAACACCTGTTTAGGTGAGAGCATGTTATTTCCTTTCCACTACAGATGTGTGAGTCTCCAATGGTCGAGCAGCGGTGGAATGATTGAATTTAACATTGTTCATTAAAAAACACAAACTAACCAAAATATGTGATCTGAACTACAGTTGCTCTGATTCCTTAAAAGGGATACGTAAGCATTGGGGTAGGGCCCGAATGAACACGACTTTTATTTTCCCTACATTATTTTATGTTTTCTTGTGCATGCATTCCCTATACATCCTAGATATAGATTCTAACACACCCATTAGATAAACAACAAGAATGGATACCGTAGAGTACTACGGGCGTGTGGGGTGCTAATACCTTCCCCTCACATAACCAACTCCCTTACCTGTATCTCTTAGTCATTTGACCTTGATTTCACCCTTCTCAGGTTTACTCAATGTTTACCTTTCCCTTCCTGTGGGATAAAAAACGTTTAATGACGACTTCATTAATTTCATTATCATTTGATTATTCAGCCAATTGTTTTAGCTGGCGACTTCACTAGGGAAAGATTGACCTATTGTTGGTCCATCCTGGACTCGATCCTGGCTCTTGTTTTCTTTTCTTTGGGGTGTTTATTTTTATGCTTTCAGTTTATTCATTTGTACATGATTATATGAGCATATGTTTGTATTACATTTTATTGCTTTCCATATTGGTTATTTGTTGTGCTAGATTTTGGTTCTCCATGTTGGGTGGGTGTTACTATTGAGGTAAAAGGCCCAGTACCCAAGCCAGAGTGCACTAGGACACTAGGAATAGATTGGGGGCATGAAGGCTATAGTACGTGATCCAATTAGCACAGTCATTTCATATACCATGCTCGGATGAGGTTCAAATGAATTAATATTGACACCCGCATCTATGGGTAAGGTGGTAGTACTTTCAGGCGGACCTATGATTTTGAGTTACCTTTGACCTACCCTGACCTAGTCTTTACCCGTGAGTGGGGAGGGCATAATCTTACAAGTACAGATGGTGACTATGTTCTGATGGTGACCGTATTTATCTTTTGGTGACTATGGTTCTTTGGGTATAGGTCGGACCTTTGATCCTGATATATTCAACTTGGCCAGAAATTATAACGGTTATTCATGGTAATTGGTTCCGTTGTGTCTTGAAAAATTGTGTCGAACCTTTGATCATGTGATATTCTAATTATTCAGCAGACTTATACAATAGTTATCCAAAGGATTGTACAGTTGATATGCTGAACTTTTGAACCTATGGTATTTCACTTGCATCATAGCATATTTGTTTTCACAAAAAAGAAATGTGTAAAAATTCTATGCACAAAAAAAGTTAACACACATGTTCTTTCCATTTCCAAGGAATCGTGCTTGTGAACATTATGTGTTGTTTATCCATTGCTTATTGGATCAAAATCAAAATTAAAAGCATGTGAGTTCCTTGAAAATGATTGGACATGGAATTGCATCCACTCATTCACCTCATGCATCTTCATGCATTCATAACAGGTACTCAGAGTGGGGAATTCTTATTCAGGCCCGATATTCTTTTCAGAACTGTGAATCTTGAGTTCTCGTTGCTCTGTTATCCGAAAAAATCTAGGGAATGACTTCATGGGGAATTGGGTGAGATGAAAAATCATATGGGATTTTTTATTATGGACATGCAGGTCTTGGCCCGTAGTCAAAAATCCTTAAGGGGGGAAAATAACTAGTTGAAGACTCAGTTGAATCGGGTATGGAAGTTCTGAAGACAATGTCAGCAAAGGAAAGTGATCTTGTATACGTTGTTTCAATAGGAGTTGTCATTCATCCCCAGCCCATGGGACATTTTTCAGATCATGAGATACTTTGTGGGTCTCATCCAGAACTTCGTGTTCCCAGATTTTCTTGCTAGTAGTTAGTTTCTGGTCTCCAAGTGAACCCACGGGGAAAATCTTATCAGCAAAGACAGAAGAAATATGAGAAGCATGTTGATATAATCTTTATACCTTGCATCTATTTACTTCCACGTATGTTGGAAGCTCAGTTGATTAAGCTTCATGCTTTAGGTCATCCTCCCACAAATTTCTCTCCCGATTTAAATACAAATGCTAGATGTGTCTCCCATTTTGGGGAACCTGATTATGATATTGAAGACTTCAAGGGGTTGAAGCATGAAGTTCGGCACCTATCTGACTTCTTTTCCAAAGTCTAGTCCATGTTTAACAAACTATTTCAAACTCTTTCTTTTCAGCTGAATGCTTCTTCTGTGTAGTAGAAGATGTGGTGATTTCTTCTATGATGAAGAAGTATAAAATATCATTATCCAGATTCACGATTATTCATAATTCATTCACACTGATCATTATTAAAAAAAACCAACAGATCAGATTCATCTCTAGCCTAACAAACTCTAACAGATCTATAAACCAGAAAATCTCACCTTTCACGATTCCTTCTCCATTCTTCTGGCAGAATCATAAAAACACCTTCAATCATTCTTCATTCTATAGAAGAATCATACAAAAAACTTCATAAATTCATTCTGATTTCTCTGCTTCAACCTTCAAGAATCATTCATCATCTCTGAGATTCAACAAAAATCTCCAATCTTCATCTCTTTCAACTTCTCTACATCCATCAAGCACATCACTTTGTTGATTCATCTTCAATGTTCATTGATCTTCATTAACTATAACTTAAACACAGCAAGAAAATATTCGAGTTTGCATCCTAGGAACACAGTAAGCAGTAGCAAGACTCGAAATTACAACTCATAACAACGTAACAACTTCAACAGAACAACTTTAACGATGCAACCTCACTACCAATCAAAAACAAAAATTCAGCAAAAGGAATCAGAGAAGAAGAATCGCACCTGAAGATACTTTCTCTGGTTTTCTTGCTTATCGAACCCCGCGAAGAACCACATGAGCTCTCTGGTAGGTAGGCTTTTACCGTTTCACACTTTTATGTGTAAATCTGTGGCGCGTGCATTTTTCTTCGATGGAATCAATAATATGTTGAGGTTTGAGTTCGAATTTGAGACTGCAAATCAAATTGAGACGATTTGAGGCAGAACCTTGCTTGAGGCTATTCTTGTTACAAACTGATATACAATGATGGAAGCTGTTGATAGACAAGGCAGAGAGTGGAGATAA